ACGAAGCCCAAAATGGGGTCTCCCCTAATAGTTTCCAATCAGGCGGTCTCAGCTTTGGGAACCAATTTTGGCCGTAAAATGGGGACCAACCCGAAGCTCAAAAACTGCAGAATTCTGCGAGGGAGACGTGTTTGAAGCTTTACCAAAGTTTTGCCCGACATACGGCGACCAGTGTCGCGAGCGACCGCGTCTGTTGAAATCAATCAAAACGCTCCGTTGCTACCCTGGTGATTGGGCTTGTGCTGCTTAAGCACCGTTGTTTGCCACTGTAACTGTGGTGGTTACTCGATGTTTCCGACGTTTTTTTGTATGTTTTCCGGGCCCCGACAATGGGCTCGTAAGCTCTGTCGAAAGTGTGGCAGGGTAGGAAAGCCCTGACGGGAGGTTTTTCAGGCCTGGAGAAATTGTTTGGGGAGGGACTTTGGGCCAAGGCTGCGGTGCTGAATTAGTATACGCCTCAAATAGTGGCCCGAATATGCCCGAATAAGTGCCCGAATAGTGCCCGAACTAGTGCCCGAATGACCCTTCATATTGCCCAAATGATTTTTTTTTCGCGAAGAAAAGGAGATTTTCCTTCTTTACGAAAGTAACATGTTTTGGGCACTATGAAAGGGTTCATTCGTGCATATTCGGCATTAATTTTCGGGCCTATTCGGCCACTATTTTCGGCCCTATGCCAGGTGGAAGCTTGGGCGGCATTATCTGGAGGGCTAAGAGTTGGGAGGCCTGCAGGACCACCAAAACACTGGAAATGCGCACGAAGAATAGAATAGGAATTTGTGCTGCAGGAGGTATTGGGGAGTGATCTGCGGGGCAGGGTTTGGAATGCAAAAGGGGGGGTTTGGGGAAGGATCTGCAGAGTTTAGGGTAGGATCTGCAAGGCAGGATTTGGGGAATTTGGGGGAGGGTCTGCAAGCAAGCGTTTGGAGGAGCATACACGAAAAACATGAGGGGTGGCATGTGCAAAAAATTGTAGGGTAGTCTATCTAGAAGTTTACGGGGGCCTTGGCCATGCGAGGGTTTAGGGAAAGATCAGGCAGGACTTAGGGAAGGATCTATAACGAGACTTTATGAAGGAGTTATGGTTTTTATCGAGTGCAGCAGCAGTCAGTCATTGACAGTCTTCTTGTTTGCATATTCAGAAACCTCCCCCCCCGCCCCCTCAATTTCAATGTGTGCCGCAATGTGTGCCGCAATGCTCATTGGGTGCTTCTATGTAAACATTTAATTTGGGGGGAGCGGGGGGTCTGGAAGGTTTCAAGATTTGTGGACAAACAATTCCAAAATTGACTATCGCGCGAGGCCATTTTCAGTGTTCGAAAAACCACGAAAACTGTAGGACGCATTAAGGTATCCCCATAGTCAGTTGCCGCCTTGCTTGCCATGCTGTGGTGTTTATGACAAGTAGTTGTCATGACATCATGGTCAACAGTCCCAAGCTGACCACGCACAGACCCCGTGCATAGCTACAAGGTTGTTTTTCGAGCAAAGTTCCAATCCAATTGGGAGCCTCTTTGTCCAAAGGTTTTCGATCCATTCTAGAGCCCATTTTCGAGCTCCAAAAACGAAGCCCAAAATGGGGTCTCCCCTAATAGTTTCCAATCAGGCGGTCTCAGCTTTGGGAACAAATTTTTGGCCGCAAAATGGGGACCAACCCGAAGCTCAAAAACTGCGGAATTCTGCGAGGGAGACGTGTTTGAAGCTTTACCAAAGTTTTGCTCGACATGCGGCGACCAGTGTCGCGAGCGACCGCGTCTGTTGAAATCAATCAAAACGCTCCGTTGCTACCCTGGTGATTGGGCTTGTGCTGCTTAAGCACCGTTGTTTGCCACTGTAACTGTCAGTTGCCGCCTTGCTTGCCATGCTGTGGTATTTATGACAAGTAGTTGTCATGACATCATGGTCAACAGTCTCAAGCTGACCACGCACAAACCCCGCGCATAGCTACAAGGTTGTTTTTCGAGCAAAGTTCCAATCCAATTGGGAGCGTCTTTGTTCAAAGGTTTTCGATCCATTCTAGAGCCCATTTTCGAGCTCCAAAAACGAAGCCCAAAATGGGGTCTCCCCTCATAGTTTCCAATTAGGCGGTCTCAGCTTTGGGAACCAATTTTTGGCTTCAAAATGGGGACCAACCCGAGCTCGAAAACTGCGGAATTCTGCGAGGGAGACGTGTTTGAAGCTTTACCAAAGTTTTGCCCGACATGCGGCGACCAGTGTCGCGAGCGACCGCGTCTGTTGAAATCAATCAAAACGCTCCGTTGCTACCCTGGTGATTGGGCTTGTGCTGCTTAAGCCCCGTTGTTTGCCACTGTAACTGTGGGGGTACTCTGATGTGTCCTACGTTTTTTGTTGTTTTCCGGGCCCCGAAAATGGGCTCGTAAAGCTCGTCGAAAGTGTGGCAGGGTAGGGAAGCCCTGGACGGAGGTTTTCAGGCCTGGAGAAGTGTTGGGAGGGACTTGGCAAGGCTGCGGTGCATGAATAGTAGACGCCTCCAAATAGTGCCCGAATAGTGCCCGAATAGTGCCCGAAATAGTGCCCGAACTAGTGCCCGAATGAACCCTTCATAGTGCCCAAATGATTTTTCGCGAAGAAAAAGGAGAGTTTCCTTCCTTTACGAAAGGAAATGTATTTGGGCACTATGAAGGGTTCATTCGGGCACTATTTCGGGCACTATTTCGGGCACTATTCGGGCACTATTCGGGCACTATGCCAGGTGGAGGCTTGGGCGGCATTATCTGGAGGGCTAAGGGTTGGGAGGCCTGCAGGACCACCAAAACACTGGAAATGCACACGAATAATAGGAGTTTGTGCTGCAGGAGGCATTGGGGAGTGATCTGCGGGGCAGGGTTTGGAATGCAAAAGGGGGGGTTTAGGGAAGGATCTGCAGAGTTTAGGGCAGGATCTGCAAGGCAGGATTTGGGGGAGGGTCCGCAAGCAAGCGTTTGGAGGAGCATGCACGAAAAACATGAGGGGTGGCATGTGCAAAAAATTGTAGGGTAGTTTATCTACAAGTTTACGGGGGCCTTGGCCATGCGAGGGTTTAGGGAAAGATCAGGCAGGACTTCGGGGAGGATCTATAACGAGACTTTATGAAGGAGTTATGGTTTTGATCGAGTGCAGCAGCAGTCAGTCATTGACAGTCTTCTTGTTTGCATATTCAGAAACCTCCCCCCCCGACCCCTCAATTTCAATGTGTGCCGCAATGTGTGCCGCAATGCTCATTGGGCGCTTCTATGTAAACATTGAATTTGGGGGGAGCGGGGGGTCTGGAAGGTTTCAAGATTTGTGGACAAACAATTCCAAAATTTTACTATCGCGCGAGGCCATTTTCAGTGTTCGAAAAACCACGAAAACTGTAGGACGCATTAAGGTACCCCCATAGTCAGTTGCCGCCTTGCTTGCCATGCTGTGGTATTTACGACAAGTAGTTGTCATGACATCATGGTCAACAGTCTCAAGCTGACCACGCACAGACCCCGCACATAGCTACAAGGTTGTTTTTCGAGCAAAGTTCCAATCCAATTGGGAGCGTCTTTGTCCAAAGGTTTTCGATCCCAAAAACGAAGCCCGAAATGGGGTCTCCCCTAATAGTTTCCAATCAGGCGGTCTCAGCTTTGGGAACCAATTTTTGGCCGCAAAATGGGGACCAACCCGAAGCTCAAAAACTGCGGAATTCTGCGAGGGAGACGTGTTTGAAGCTTTACTAAAGTTTTGCCCGACATGCGGCGACCAGTGTCGCGAGCGACCGCGTCTGTTGAAATCAATCAAAACGCTCCGTTGCTACCCTCGTGATTGGGCTTGTGCTGCTTAAGCACCGTTGTTTGCCACTGTAACTGTCAGTTGCCGCCTTGCTTGCCATGCTGTGGTATTTATGACAAGTAGTTGTCATGACATCATGGTCAACAGTCTCAAGCTGACCACGTACAGACCCCGCGCATAGCTACAAGGTTGTTTTTCGAGCAAAGTTCCAATCCAATTGGGAGCCTCTTTGTCCAAAGGTTTTCGATCCATTCTAGAGCCCATTTTCGAGCTCCAAAAACGAAGCCCAAAATGGGGTCTCCCCTAATAGTTTCCAATCAGGCGGTCTCAGCTTTGGGAACCAATTTTGGCCTCAAAATGGTGACCAACCCGAGCTCAAAAACTGCGGAATTCTGCGAGGGAGACGTGTTTGAAGCTTTACCAAAGATTTGCTCGACATGCGGCGACCAGTGTCGCGAGCGACCGCGTCTGTTGAAATCAATCAAAACGCTCCGTTGCTACCCTGGTGATTGGGCTTGTGCTGCTTAAGCACCGTTGTTTGCCACTGTAACTGTGGGGGTACTCTGATGTGTCCTACGTTTTTTGTTGTTTTCCGGGCCCCGAAAATGGGCTCGTAAAGCTCGTCGAAAGTGTGGCAGGGTAGGGAAGCCCTGGACGGAGGTTTTCAGGCCTTGTTCGTTTGTAACCTAGTGCACGTAGTCCCAAGTAGAGTGTGTAGAGTAATCACGAGAACACATGAAACATGTGTGTGAACCGCGACACGGAGGCTTAAGGAAGTCAGCCCGAGAAGTGAGAAAAGTGTGTTTGAAAGTAGAGTGGGAAGGAAGGCTTGAGAAGCCTTTAGTTTCAACATGGTAGCGGAGCTCCCTGATTCAGACCTCTTGGGAGCGATGAAGCTATCACAGGAACAACAGGTAGCTGTCGCCATGGTTTCCTTGGCTTTGGCCTTTTCGCTGATGTGTCTGGCGAGAAGCTTTGTGATGGAACTTGTGAGAAAGGAGACGGTGGAGCGCGTAGCTCCAGCTGAGGAAGAGCTACCAGAACTTTGATACTCGCCTTACGGAGAGAAGACCCACACCTCAGGAAGATGTCATGGCCTCAGGAACGCAACCAGCGTACACCGAGTACTACCATGCAAGTACTGCTGTCCCGGCGGACTCCGATCCCGGGAGCAACGCACCTTCGAGTACAAGAGAACCCTTTTGGAAGCAGCAGGAAAGTACCTTTGGCTAAAAGTCTTCATGGTTGTGGTTCTCATGGGCATGTCATGGTTCATGGTGTTTGAAGTGAACGAGACCTACGGCTACCCGTTGGCCATGAACCGCATGCTGAACTACAGGAACAAGGTCCTCAGCCTCGACAACAAGAACCCCAAGAAGAAGCATGTGATAAAGGAGATTACCCCAGCGGATGTTGTACCTGCCGGGAAGAGCCAAGAAGGTGATCACACAGAACTTTTCACGTTGTGGTCGCATCTACATGAGCCCAATACCAAACCGAGAACGAGAACGAGATCAACGTCACGAGCTACCTCAAGAAGACGAACGTGTACTCCGAGTTCTACAAGAACAGAAGGAAAGGAACAAAGTTGCAACTACAGTTTTTATGAAGGTGATGTCGCGGAGTATAACAAGAACCTAACGAACGAAGAAGTGCCCCACGCGAACTACTACAAGAACCTTGTGTTTGAGTTGGTTTTGGAGTTTCAAGAGTACCTTGCGAAAGCAGGAAGAAGCCTTGAGCCCGTCGTGAGCTACGTCGTGCGCACGTGTCACCCAGTACTACTTCTACTTGGGACCCCGCTTGGTATGGTCACTTGGATCTACCTCTATTTTTTGGTCAGAGTTAAGCAAACAAAAAGAGAACAGTTGAAGAAGAAAGTTTCGAGAAGGAAGTTGCACAGGTCAGTTTGCAGCGTTCTTTTCAAGAAGCGAGTCTGGTTGCATGTTGTGTTGCTTTACAGTCACATGCAGAGTGCAGTTGCGATGGAGGAAGCCTTGCAAAGGCTCACGGACCTTACTGCCCAAAACACACAACAGATACAAGCACTTGCCCAAGCAATGAACAGTCAGCAAGCGCAGGCAGGTACCGCTTCACAACAACTACAGGAACTCGCGCAGTCAGTTTCACAACAGCAGAGAGCAATTACAGAAGCAACCCAAGCAACCAACACAGCACTGTCACAACAAGCAGAGCTTACTGCAAATGCGGTTGCAGCAACAGGAAAGCTTACAGCAGACGCAGTTACAGCACTGTCGCAGCACGCAGAGTCAAGAAGGCCAGGAGAGATTGACCTCCACAAGATGATCAAATCTCCAGAAGTCTTTGGCCCTACTACGTACAAGGAAGAGCGTGATGGTTTTCTAGAGTTTCGGTTGAAGCTGAGAAGTTGGATAGGCGCTCTCAACAACGACATCCTTGAGAAGATCAACGCAGTCGAGATGGATAGAAGAGAAGCATCATGGGAATGGAGTAAACTTAACCCAGGTGAACAAGCACTTTCAAGAAAGCTACATTCCATCCTCACCAGCTATACACGTGGCCGTCCTCTACGAACTCTAAAGCAAGTACCCAACGAGAACGGTTTCGAAGCATGGAGGTTGTTGGTGGAGGAGCATCAGCCTCACAACCGTGCACGTTCTCTACAACTACTTAATGGAGTTCTTCACTACAGGTTCGACAAGCAAAGGTCAACACAAGAAAATATCCTGAAGTTTGAAGAGTTGATTGAAGAGTACGAGAGAGCGAGTGGAGACCTTGTTGCGGACGACATGAAGATTTCCATCATACTTGGAGGAACCGAAGGGAACATGAGACAACATCTTCTACTCAACCAGAAGGAGACCACAAAGTATGGAACACTACGACAGTACCTCCTCTCCTACGAGCAAGCAGCAAGGTGGACTACCACAGACCTCATCAACTCAGGAAAGGACCACCAAGGACAAGCAGACATGGATGTTTCACGAGTTGAATGGTGGAAAGGCAAAGGAAAAGATAAGGGAAAAGGAAAGAAAGGAAAAGGATTCGGCAAGTACAAAGGCAAAGGCTTCGGTAAAGGAAAAGGAAAAGGAGAAAGCCAGTACTACTACAAAGGCCGAGGAAAAGGAAAAGGACGAGGAAAAGGAAAAGGAAAAGGCAGAGGCCGAGGATATGGCAAAGGCGGGGGAAAAGGCTACAGCAGCAAAGGAAAAGGTAAAGGATACAACAACCCAGGAGTTGCTGTTTGCCACTACTGCCAAAAGCCTGGACACTACGAAGCCAATTGCAGACTCAAGCAGAGAGACATGCAGCAGAACGTCAGGAACGCACAGGAGGAAGACGAACAAAGCGTCAGGACACAGCCTACCACAGTTCCAAGCAGTAGCGCCTCGGCAGCCACAACAACAAGAACTACAAGCGCGAAGTCTACAGCTAAGCCAACAGTTCGGCAGATCGCGATGTACCACATGGACAACGATCCCGTCACGTACCCTGAAGTTTTTGAACTTGACGAAGACGAAGAAGAGCTCGAGATCGAGTACTTTGGAAGAGTCTTGAGAGTGACGGAAGCTGAAGAGTTTGTTTTGTCAGAAGGAGAAGAGAGCGAAGAAGAGCAAGAAGATCCTCTACTAAACTGGTACCTTGGACGTGAAGCACTACCACCACAAGAAGTTCTTTCAGTACGCGTTGTAGAGGAAGAGTTTTTCCAGGAAAGTGATCTTCACCAAAGAATTGAAGTTATCCTGGATTCTGGCGCAGACGTTTCTCTTGTGCCCTCTTGGCTAGGAAAAGAAGGAACCCCTTTGAAGGTTCGC